TAATCAATATTTTACGATATTCCGGAAAAACGTGTGTCTGTAGATTCGAAAAGAGTGCGCAGAAATCGGACAGAAAACTGCATTTCATCGTCATAGTTGCTGTCTTTCTATTTGTCGTCATGGCAGAAAATATTGGGAATAACCAAAACAAATTCTCTGAAAATCCTCAAATATGACACTCCTGTGCAAAACTTTAGTTGAGGGGGAAAAAAACTTTTCAAGGGCGACAGAATTTAGTTTTTCTGTCAAAGTTTCGCGCGCTCGTATAGTTGGAGAAGATAATGAGCTTTTGTATTTTAGGATTTAGTTGAGACCGGTTGAAAACATGTGAAATTTATTTTTACTTGCAGTTTCCGGGAACACGAGGAATTTCACACGTATAAAGCGACTTGTGTGTCTGAATACCTCAGCGATTCTGGAGAGGAAAAGTTCAACATTTACGCCAAGTCGCAATGGTGAGTATTTCTCATCCGTCTGGAATTTTTCGCAAAACTTGAAATTATTTCATTTTTCTCTGGTTTCAGCGGTAAAGAAATGTACGCCTGCCTGTGGCTCATCAAACGTGGTATCAACGTCATGGAGTACCACTTGAGTAAGTGACTTCTGTATGTACAGTACTGTATATCTGGAAACTTTTTCCCGTTTTCCCATCGTTTCTTGCCACAAAAGATTCTTCAACTTTTCACCCTGCATCTTCGTGTCTATTTCAATTACTAATGCGAGGATCTTTTAATTTTTGCAATTTCCAGGTCCGCCAACAAAGGAAATTAATTGGACTGCTTGTGCTGGCACTGGAATTAAACCGGAATCTTCTGGTTATTGGTCTACTCAAGGAAGTAAGTTGATTCTCTGCTTCCGGTGTGATAACGTAGTCAAAATTTATGGAGTCCCTCAAAGATTCTGAGGAAATCCATGATCTAAATTTTCATTAAATTAAACCCGCATTAAATAATCAATTAGTGATAATCTGCTGGACCAAGTGTAATAACCTTTCAGTCATAATTTCATGGGGGGTAATCGACATCACATGGGAAGCAATACAATTTTTTTTGGACTTTTTTAAATTTAAAAGAGATACTGTATTCCATCGTAAGTCAGAAGAGGGAATTTTAAGACAGAAGTTCACTTTTCTACCTTGGATTTCACGATTCTTCTCTTGTGAGAGATTGTGAAATAACGTCGAAATGAAAAAAAAAATATTATTACCTGCAATCTCTTCTGGAGTGCATGAGTGACATTTTCTGCTTGCCTGAAGTTTAATGGTACACCATTAAATACGACCGACTTTTAATTTTTTTTTTAAGGCCAAGTCAGAGAAATTCTTTTGAATATGAAATTCACGGAGATAGCTAGTGCTTCTATCATGTGTAAATTGCCGGAAAACACGATCTGGATCGAGTTCCGTTTACGAAAATTGTGACATTCAAATGCAGAGAATGCTTTCTTATTATTAAATATCCAAGATTGTTGAGAATTGATAGCGTTGATTTATTTATGAAGCCCTCAGAATTTCACAGCGAATAACGCACTGTATGTACGTATGTACGTAGCAGCAGTTCTCCCAATAATTTCGGGCCCATATCGGGATGTAATCAGGGCCAGATGATCTGGCATTCGCAGCACAGGGAACCGGGGGAACCCTTCCCTCGGGGATTCGATTGAGATCTGCCGACAAGAACGTGATTGTTGTGACGCTGTAGCCGATGATTTGTCCGCAGGGAAGGAGGTACTGGAAGAGTCACCCTGCCCAATTACTGGGGAATACACGGGCCTAATCCCGGACGCTTCGGGCCTGTGTGCCAGGCTGTTCTCCGACTGCGAAAACCCGGAATCCATGCACTACAAGGTCTACAACTGCTACAATGCGTCTGATGTCTATGAAGGTTGGCTGATATGTCCTGCTTTGATCCGGTGCAAACTTGTAAAGGCGGGGGGTGATTTTGGGAATGGGTTCAAAGGCGCGGGTGCTAGCTGCTGCGTCATCAGTCGGTAATTCGACGGAATCCCAAACGAATCATTTTTTTGGCACTTGGACGTAGAGCGAATATTGTGGAAATACGCGATGAGAGCTGCCGCTGTGGCTATTCATTTTGACGCGTCCGTCATTATAATCTCGTTTAAATTCGTTAAATTTATGATTAATTCAAGTGCCGCTTTCCTGTAATGCTCTACCAAACCAGCTAAATACCCTCTGATGTCTACAAATGAAGGATGGCTTCTTATTTGAATTATGTCAAATAAACGGGGTGGTTTTTGGAGTTGGTTGATCACGTGAAGCAAACGAATGTGCTTATAGGCACTGCCGACACAAATATTTGGGATTCCGTGAGATGTCGACAATTTGTTGTACTTCATCAAAAGTATCACCATTTTTGAAATTCGTGCACAATTCATAATCAATCGAAGTCTTATGTTCTCGTTTTTATTATAAAATGCATGGGGTCATTCACCGCAACCTCCACATATACTCGTATACACTTTACGTCACAATTAGTGCATTGGATGCATACGAAGATTTGCTTTTGCTTTGATCTGATTCAACCGAGGTATTAATTTTCGAAGTTCTTTCAAAAGAGTGTTTCTGTATTATCACTTGATGATTCCAGCTTAAGAACACTCAATCGTTTTGAGCAAAAGCCGCTTGGAGAACATATTATAAATTCTGGCTATTAATTTAAGCGCTTCAGTCATTTCAAAGCCCTTCGAAATTTATAAAAATTATATTTCAACCTTCTCTCTCCCCCTTGTTTCACTTCTGAGAATAGAGTTAGAGTTCTTCTGGCCTCTTACTTGAGTTTATAAATATCGAGAATAATTTCTACCATTTTTCCGATGTTTACGAATAAGGTTGGCCACCTGCTTTGATCTGGTTCAGCTAAGGGGGTCTCCGAGCTGTCTTGGTTCAAAGACGCGCTGCTGCATTAACGGGTAATAATTCAACGGAATTGCAAACCTTCGAATATTTTCAAAAATAATAATATAACCCTTCAGAGGAAATTTGCTGGAATTTGAGCTGCTGAACCGTAATGCGGGGGAATTTTAAGTTCGAATGTTTTGAGCAACACCAACTTTCTGGCTTCCTCAGCAAATACTGCATCCTGCTAATTCTTTACTTTGAAATGACCTTCATTTTTTATGCTTAATTTATTTTGAAATGATCAAGATAACGACGAAATCTATTCCTTCCCCAGCTTACGAATTTTGGTCTTAATTTATTCAATTTGGGTTTCAGTATTCTGAAAGTGAACCAAAATCCTTCATTTCACTAATTGGCTGTTCTCTTGAGTAATGACATGTATCTAATGTCTGATGAATTCAAGAAGGTTCACCCGTACATTTTGTTGTTGCCAAAAGAAATTGAGTTTGAAAGAGTATCGAAGTGTATTGTTCTAAAACATCTTTGTGACGGAGAGATGGGGTTCCATTCCAACTCGAAAATACATTCTGAACGACTGAAAGTAATCATTTGGTCAGGAATGAAGTGATAGATATAAAAAAGTACTTGATCGGGTTTCGTGGAATCACAAATTCAACGTGTTTTTTTATTCTCAATTAATTTAAAAATAATTTTTTAGAAGTTTCTCTGGCTTTTTTGATGACTTTCCAGATGTTTTCAAATGGAAAAACGGCATGGATTTCGTGCTACTCGGATGAGATATTTTCAACTTCTTCATCATTTATGTGAATCAATTACCAGCATAGGAAAAATAAATAAACTGGTGTGAAGGAAAATATCTTAAAATGAGCAATTGTCGAAAAGCATTTACAGAAATGCAACATTTTGGCCATTGAATTCAAACTTGCGACGACAATGAAATATCGCCTTCTTCTGGATCTGATTGTCAGTGGATTCATTTTCATATTAAAAAAAAAAGNATCGGGATGTAATCAGGGCCAGATGATCTGGCATTCGCAGCACAGGGAACCGGGGGAACCCTTCCCTCGGGGATTCGATTGAGATCTGCCGACAAGAACGTGATTGTTGTGACGCTGTAGCCGATGATTTGTCCGCAGGGAAGGAGGTACTGGAAGAGTCACCCTGCCCAATTACTGGGGAATACACGGGCCTAATCCCGGACGCTTCGGGCCTGTGTGCCAGGCTGTTCTCCGACTGCGAAAACCCGGAATCCATGCACTACAAGGTCTACAACTGCTACAATGCGTCTGATGTCTATGAAGGTTGGCTGATATGTCCTGCTTTGATCCGGTGCAAACTTGTAAAGGCGGGGGGTGATTTTGGGAATGGGTTCAAAGGCGCGGGTGCTAGCTGCTGCGTCATCAGTTGGTAATTCGACGGAATCCCAAACGAATCATTTTTTTGGCACTTGGACGTAGAGCGAATATTGTGGAAATACGCGATGAGAGCTGCCGCTGTGGCTATTCATTTTGACGCGTCAGTCATTATAATCTCGTTTGAATTCGTTAAATTTATGATTAATTCAAGTGCCACTTTCCTGTAATGCTCTACCAAACCAGCTAAATACCCTCTGATGTCTACAAATGAAGGATGGCTTCTTATTTGAATTATGTCAATTAAATGGGATGGTTTTTGGAGTTGGTTGATCAGGTGAAGCAAACGAATGTGCTTTGGCACTGCCAACACAAATATTTGGGATTCCGCGAGATGTCGACTATTTGTTGTACTTCATCAAAAGTATCACATTCGTGCACAATTCATAATCAATCAAAGTCTGATGTTCTCGTTTTTATTATAAAATGAATGGGGTCATTCACCGTAACCTCCACATATACTCGTATAAACTTTACGTCACAATTAGTGCATTGGATGCATACGAAGATTTGCTTTTGCTTTGATCTGATTCAACCGAGGTATTAATTTTCGAAGTTCTTTCAAAAGAGTGTTTCTGTATTATCACTTGATTCCACGGAATTAAGAACACTCCATTGTTTTGAGCAGTGCCGCTTGCAGAACATATTATAAATTCTGGCTATTAATTTAAGCGCTTCAGTCATTTCAAAGCCCTTCGAAATTTATAAAAATTATATTTCAACCTTCTCTCTCCCCCTTGTTTCACTTCTGAGAATAGAGTTAGAGTTCTTCTGGCCTCTTACTTGAGTTTATAAAGATCGAGAATAATTTCTACCATTTTTCCGATGTTTACGAATAAGGTTGGCCACCTGCTTTGATCTGGTTCAGCGAAGGGGGTCCCCGAGCTTTCTTGGTTCAAAGACGCGCTATGGTGCATTAACGGGTAATAATTCAACGGAATTGCAAACTTTCGAATATTTTCAAAAATACTAATACAACCCTTCAAAGGAAGTTTGCTGGAATTTGAGCTGCTGAACCGTAATGCGGGGGAATTTTAAATTCGAATGTTTTGAGCAACACCAACTTTCTGGCTTCCTCAGCAAATACTTCATCCTGCTAATTCTTTACTTTGAAATGACCTGTATTTTTTATGCTTAATTTATTTTGAAATTATCAAGATAACGACGAAATCTATTCCTTCCCCAGCTTACGAATTTTGGTCTTAATTTATTCAATTTGGGTTTCAGTATTCTGAAAGTGAACCAAAATCCTTCGTTTTACTAATTGGCTGTAGTCTTGATTAATGACATGTATTAAATGTCTGATGAATGAAACAAGGTTTACCCGTACATTTTGTTGTTGCCAAAAGAAACTGAGTTTGAAAGAGTATTGAATTGTATTGTTCGAAAACATCTTTGTGATGGAGAGATGGAGTTCCATTCCAACTCGAAAATATATTCTGAACGAGTGAAAGTAATCATTTGGTCAGTAATGAAGTGATAAATGTAAAAAATTACTTGATCGGGTTTCGTGGAATCACAAACACAACGCGTTTTTTTTATTCTCAATTAATTTAAAAATAATTTTTTAGAAGTTTCTCTGGCTTTTTTGATGACTTTCCAGATGTTTTCAAATGGAAAAACGGCATGGATTTCGTGCTACTCGGATGAGATATTTTCAACTTCTTCATCATTTATGTGAATCAATTACCAGCATAGGANTTTTTTTATTCTCAATTAATTTAAAAATAATTTTTTAGAAGTTTCTCTGGCTTTTTTGATGACTTTCCAGATGTTTTCAAATGGAAAAACGGCATGGATTTCGTGCTACTCGGATGAGATATTTTCAACTTCTTCATCATTTATGTGAATCAATTACCAGCATAGGAAAAATAAATAAACTGGTGTGAAGGAAAATATCTTAAAATGAGCAATTGTCGAAAAGCATTTACAGAAATGCAACATTTTGGCCATTGAATTCAAACTTGCGACGACAATGAAATATCGCCTTCCTCTGGATCTGATTGTCAGTGGATTCATTTTCATATTAAAAAAAAAAGACTACGACAGAAATGCCTGGCATCAGTGGAATCGTCATAATTACTATTTACTCATGCATATATATATCCAGCAATCCATTTTCCCGTTGGGTTGCTTCCAGAACCACCAGCAAGCTCATAAAACAAAGCTAAACAAGTTGATGAGAGGGAGAGAGAGAGAGAGAAAGACTCGCATATATAAACTCGAGGAAAAGTTTGTTCTCTTACATACAGTGTTTGTTTCTTAGACTTGGAACTCTCTGTGTGTATACGATGCGAGGTAATGTCGGGGTTCTGAGGTTGATTTTCTTTTTTTGGCTTGTGTGTGTTTTCCGAATCGCGACAGACAGGAGGTACAAGTGCCTGGGGCAATGGGAGGAGAACAGCGTCATGTACACGTACACTGAGCGGACGGACGTTCCGGGCCACGAGTGCTTCCTTGGGCGGATCGTCAATGACCAGGAGCTGTTTATTCAGGAGGCTGGTGTAAACTGCCAGAGACCGACGTCTTCCCTGCACTCTGTCACCCATGGCATGAAGCTGCTCAAAAAAGGTTTCCAAACATTTTAATTCTTTTTTTTCTTCTTTTTTTTGTGTGTGTCAAGTATTCAAGCCTAGATTATTCCTTGTTTGATTGAAAGCTGTCCACAGTGGCTATATACTGTAGTGCTAAAGTAAATTTTTTATTACCGGATAGCCATTGGGACAAGGGGGAAAATCTTTAAAGTTGAACCTCCAAATAAAGTGTTCTGTTCATTCATTCATTCATTGAACCTCCATAAGTCAAATACCTTCTTAACTATAATTTTTTTCAAGTCGGGAATCCCAAGGAAACAGTGCATCAAAAACCACTCTAACTCAAAGTATTTTCCTCTTGAACCCCCGTAACTAGAATTTTCTGTTGCTTTTCAGCTATTACTTCCTTGATACATGAAAGAGAAAAGCAATAAAAAAGTAACTTGGTGTGTTTTGAGAAGAAGGGAAATGCCACATTGGGCAAATGAACCCATGCTTTGAAGTTCAGCATCCTGTCAACTCTTAAGAATCAATTTAAGGTCCAGCAGATTACAGGGGGTACCTTGCAATTTGATCCTAATCCATTGCCAAACTAGTTTTGAATTGCAAAGCAGTCAAATTGCAAGACACTTTATTGAATCAAAAATATCAGTAAAAAATGCAAGAAATTGGCCATAGCAGGTTGAAACTTTGGGCATGGGTCAAATTTCGAGTCAACATCCCAGCAAATTTGACCATTGAATTTCAGGAGGTTGAATTGCAAGGTACCACTGGTACTCCTATGTACAATTTCCTGCAATTCTTTGTTTTCCACAACAAAAATATTTGTTTCCCAAACTTGAAATCTTCAAAGTCAAAACCTCCAGAAGTCAAATTTCAAGGGACCAGCAAAAAAATTGACTTACAGAGGTTCAAATGTACAAAAAAATTTGATTAAGGACATTGTGTATACTGTACAGGTAGCTAAAAACGAATTTGTGAGGCTACTTATTTAAGGTTAGGTTTTACATTGCGGTAACTAGAGATGATTTAGTTGGCTTTTTTGCATTGACAGCATGTCAAACATGTTTCAGCCCCCAAAAGAAGTAACTTAGTGCTGAGGCAGTTATGCAGTCTGATAGCAATTAAGTTTCAAGATTGGACTTTACATATTATTGCCTTTACAATAAGAAAGAAAATGGAAGCATCCTCTCTGCCTGGATGTTCTCAATTTACTGTATTATCTCTCTCAGGTAAAATGAAAAAGAAGAAATAACACGACACAATGAGCAAATAAAATCACCGAGAAATTCATGATGAAACTAGTTTTCAAAGTAAAAAAAAATACTTGTAGAGCCAGAAAAATCTTTTTTCACATGACGCAATCGCTCGCATTGAAGCGTGATTTCATTCAATATTCGGCGAAGAAAATTTTACGCAGTCTTGAATGAAAGGTTAAGATGTTTTCCAATTTTTTTTTGTGGCAGAAGTCACGAAATACATTGTTGACCAGTATGAAACTCCGATAATTTAGTTCTTGAAAATATTATGTAAACTTTTCAAACATTTTTTTTCAGCGTCGTGTTATGCAAAACGACCAGCTGTGATTGCAGAAGGTCCTCCAGCAATCCCTGCTGTGCCCAGACATAGTTGGACGCCAAAATATCCTCAGATTGTGCACACAACTCCGCCGCCGCAATTGAGAAATTGGCAACCGACGGTTTACAAAACTTCTGGACAATCAATCACTACTGTTTCCTCTCACTGTCTGGCTCTGTTATGTCTCATCATGGTTTTTCATTTGTGAAAAAAAGGAAGAAAAGAAGCGAACCATGCTTTTTTTTTCGGGTTGCTTGATTTCCAGTCAGTGAACTGCGAGGTGTCAGTTTCCAAAGGCCAGTGTTCTAGTGTGGGTTTGCGTGGAGAAGGATGCATTTCATGAATGAGTTTATGGGTGTGTTTTTTTTTGTTTGTTGGAAATGTATGAGCGGATGAGGTGAATTTTAATCGTTGGAACGAGTCCAAAGTGTTCTGAAGAAATTTTTTGTTATGCGTTGACGAGGCTTCTGATGGAGAGAAGAGTTGTGATGCGGATTCTTGTCTCAAGCGAAGATTGACGGACGCGCTAACTCAATGCGGATTTGTGATTCATATTGGAGAAATGATTATTAAAAACATTTTTGGAACAATTTTTTTCCATCGAATTCATTGAAAACTCTTCCATCATACGTACTTCATCCCTTTCGCTAGAACATCGTTTACACAACCCAGTAAATAATTTCATAACGCTGCAAATTTTATGGAATCAGCATACTTAGAAAAAAAAACTTTGAGCGCTGTTTTTCTTCAATTTATAGACTTGCACTTTTAGGGAAAACTTCATATGATGGAGCAGCAACGTTTATTCAGCAAAGTCAGTTCCGTTTCAACTTTGGAAGTTGGTTCAAGTTTATCCAGGTTCAAGTGTACCGTAGTTGACGACAGGATTTCAAGAAAAAACCCGTTTCAACAGAACTCCGAACCAAGCCGGATAAATGTGTCTTCCGTCGAGATACGGTACACATGTCACCTCCAAGTTTTTTTTTTTAACAATGCGTGGAAGGTTGCCAGGAAGATTTTCTACTGGATGGAAGCTCCAGGTGATTTTTATGGGCAAGTTGTGATGGTCAAGTTCCCCGTCGGCGCGGAAGTGGATGTGTGACAGCGCGGGTCTGTGTCGAGCAGCGCGACGTTGCTTCCCGACCCCACTGCGTCGTCATCGAGCGTCGCGTCGACAGTCCAGGATTTTCTGGTCCCGGAAAATACCATGTAGGTTATTGCAAACCGAATTCGTGGTGCCGAATTTCTATTCATCTCTGACGAGGCTAAAAAAAAGAGACGGCTGATCATCGAAGATTGTTTCATCACAGCTGGAAAAGACCGGATTTCGAGTGATCGACTTACTTAATTGAGGGGATCAATTATTTTTTCACGAAAGAATGAGGATATGTGAGAAAAGTGTTCTCTTAGAATTCGATTTTTTGTATTCCATGGGTTCAATTTTAATTCATGTGCATCACGAGGATTACATCATATCCACTGACGAAATTAAAGCATCACGAAAAATTCACGGATCCAAGGAAATATTCTTCAGAATTTTTCTGTGATTGGTAAGGATTATATTTTTTAGTTGAGAATTTAAAGCTTTAGAAGGCGTTAGAGATAGTTTCATGTCGTGGTGTGATTCTAACGACGGTATATTTTCGTCCAAAATGTTGCGCAGTTTTCGTGAAAGTGCATCAAGTAAATTTCCCGAAATTCGGCAAAAATATTGAAGTGAATAGCTGAAAAAAAATACTCACGATCTGCTCAATCGGAAATCATCTCCCTGCTCAAAGGCTGACTTCTGGAGTGCTTCCCTGGCAGGTATCGTTATTCGAAAAAATTGTGTTCTGTTGTAATATTTACGAAATTTTATGCATGGCGTACTTTTCGTATTAATGATTCATGTGGAAGCTGAAACGTTCGCTATAGATTATACTGATGTGATAACTCCGAAGAACAATCCATGCAGTCAATCTTTTTTTTCTCTGGAACGAGTAAAAAGATCAGCTTCTAATTTTCCCAGAAGGATGGTCCAGAACTGAATCAGAGGCTTGGAATCTGAACCAACAGCAGGATTTATTCCACTTGATTCAGATGCATTTCATTGTGCAAGTGGGCCAGAGAAGGCGTGATTTATCCATGCACGCCAGCACCAACTCACCAAGGGAAACCCCCAACAAATATCAAGATTAATCTCTTTCCCTTTCATCCTTCCTACAAATGCCCTTTGTGGCAGCCGAAAGTATTATTCTTCGATACATAGCCTAAATTCCTTTATTGTCTATAAATTTACTCATTTGCTGGAAGAATTACTTATATACGCACTGCACCAACCTTATGCGGGCACAAAACGCATTTTGCTTTGGAACATTCTTAAAAAAAACATGTATTCTTGAGACTAAGATCCCTTGCTTCGCAGTAGCAAATTTTGTGTGAGCAGGAAACCGAGAAGTTCATTCATCAGACGATTGACTGTTCTATCGCCTTGAAAATATTTTGCTATCAGAATTACCGATGTGTCATTAGAATTAAAATTACAGATGTACTGTATTATTTGAAAATATTCGCTTCTGCTGAAGCTAAGATATTTTGCCTTTCCAGAATATATTTTTGTGTGTGCAGGAAACGGATGATTAATGTAACCGAATCTCATGTGAAGATAGTCATCGCTGAAACAAAGAATTAATAACAATAATTTATACAGACCCATTGCATTTATTCCTAGCGAATCCCATCTTAAATATAAGTTTAATGTTTTCAAAAGTGTACAAATGCCTTTTCAGATTTTCCCTTTGAATTGCCGTTATCCAGGAATTCAGACAAAGCTATGCTCACATGATGGTTCGATATGAATCGATGAGATATTGATCATTTGTATAAAATCATATTTTCTTCCATGCGAAGCCTCAACGGCATCTTGGAAAATTATACATTGGGATTAAAACAAAATAAAACAGGAAAAAGTTTCTGATGCAAAATTAGATAAAACTGCAGGAAAGGATTCAAGAATAGGAAATTGCCAACACCTTATTCAAACCCGATGCAGAATACGCGTTTTCAAAAAGATTCTTTCGTGTGTATCCCGCTGTCGGGTAATATGTCATGATTGCCTCATTCTAACAAGAGTGTTTCTCCAACAAAAGGGGGCTTGTAGAAGACTTAAGGGAATTGAGGTGTATATAGAGTTTGATTGAAGGAACAGGGGGTCGGGTGTCTCAAAGGACCCCCGATCTCGTTTCTCGGCACAGGAACGATTCCGAGAGACTTTATGGTAATCCCTGGGTTGCACAGGGACCTTAACTAGCTTCGGGGGCTCCAGAGAAAATGAATGCTAAATCGCTTCTTCGCACTTTTTTCTCACATTGTACCATGATGGAAGTGCAAAAGAGTTGAACTAACCGGAAATTGGGAACTTTCTCAGAGATCTGTTCTAAGAATTGCCTTTCAAACAGTTTCTGTGCAGTCATTCTTCAAGATGAAAAATAATTTTTGAATTTATTCTCGCCTAAACGATTATCTAATTTTGAATTTAATTTACAGAAAAGTTGAGCTCGGCGACTCTGATTTTTTATGGAAGCGCTGGTTAAAGACACATGAAAATGCGAATGAACTTGTGCACGCGTAGTTTTTCTAAAATCGGAAGAAAATTAGAAGATCTTTGTGAACTTAACAAAGGATTTGTTGATTCTATCGGACGTATTATACCTCATGAATGTGACTGAACCCAACCAAATCCAAATTATTTCAACTAATTCAATCTCAAAGCTTGAATACACTAGAGAATTTCTTTCACTGGATACATGCAAGTGCAAGTCGGTGCATTTTTGAATACTAACCCTTATACTAACTTGGTGTGTGTGATAATCTGTAATAGTCGAATTGCTCTAATACATTGGCGATTTTTTTGTGATTGAGATCCGTATACAGTCAACCCCCGTCTAACGGACTTGATTCGGGCAAGGGACGAGTCTGTTAGACGAAAAGTCCTTTACACGAATTCAATTACATAAAAAATTTAAAATTTCAATTTTCAGCACTAATTTTAAACCAGAAGAAGTCTGTTTGGTGGATTTTGTCTGTTGGGCGGGAGGAAAAACTGCTTGCAGAGCTGGTCTGTTAGACAAAAATCCCTTACACGGGAGGTCTGTTAGGCGGGGGCCACTGTATATGACCTTCGTTCATTCCAAAGGAATAAATATCTCGCATTCATAAATTTTGAGTATTCAATAAATACATACAGTATTTGAGTAACTGAAAAGAGTCTAAACCGATAACTTCATAACTACAATCTCAAATAATCCCATTTAAAAATCAGGCAAAATTTTTAAATCTAAGCTTCTAAAATGTGTCGTTCATGTCATGCAAACTGCGGCAGCTAATCAATTCCATTCTCCGACTCTGATGCTAATTTATTTCTACCACAAACAATATTTTAATCTCGCAAAAACGTTCCTAGCAGATTCCATGTTTTTTTCGTTGAATATGAAGTATTTCTGACTTGGGTAGAAAATATATTCAAGACGCGAACATTTTTTGAAAGTCGAGACTAATTTTTCCCACATCTTCCCTAGTCAACTTTGAGTTGCCATTTATTTTCTAGACCCACAAGCCTTGCTACAGGCTCTCCCAACGCCGGAATAACTTGAGTTGAATCTCTCTTTGAATCTAGCAAAAATATGAATTTCGTTACCAGTGTGGGTGCAAACTGTGTTACATATGGAGAAAATGGATTGAAGGAAGAGAATATTAGTCTGGCCAGGTTGTCAAAATGGGGCATTCTCACGTATCCCACACCAGATGCCCAGAAATCTTCTCTCCCAAACGGATGCGTGACCACTAACCCGGGGATCAAGGGAGAACAAATATAACTCACGCAGAAGGAAAACGAGTCAAAACTGTGAAAGGCCCCAACATTCTGCCCGAATTGCTCCTTGTCAACTCACACAAAGGCACTGCCTCTGTTTCCATTTCCCCGCAAGAAATTAACTTGTGGAATTCGTATACGGTCGAACCTCTCTCCACTTCGAATTTCGAAGGGAACAGTAAAAATTCTACTCCGGGAGATTTCAAGGAAACGGGCATTTTTGCTGTGGAAATCATAGAAATATTGCAAGAAAATTTTAAATGGTGATATTCTGGGGCTTAAATTGCTTCTTAAAATGAGTTGACAGGATGCTGAACTCGAAGGCATGGATTCTTTTGCCCAATTAGTCCTTCAATGCCTTTCAAAGCGCATCAAATTAATTTTTTATAGCTTTTCTCTTACCTGTGTCAAGAAAATAATAGCCAAAAGGCCTTAGAAAATTTAAGTTATGGATGAGGTTTGAGGGAGAAAACCTTCGAGTTAAGGAGGTTTTTAATGCATTGTTTTCAATGAAATTCAGACAGGGACTTGAAAAAATATTCGACTTTATCGAGGTTCAACTGTAATCGATATTTGCGATGAAGCACAGCAAAAATAAACTAGGGGTTCAATTTAAAATCTGCACGCAAAAAAAAAATCACCAAAGGCGAAGTCACTCATTAAATAGCACTACGAATACTGTATTTCTTCAAGACACTTTCAATAAAAGCTGAAATTTCTTATAAAAGTTCTCTCGTCTCTATACTGACATTTCAAACCCTTCAAAAATTATACAGGGAATAATTTTAAAAACATTTAAATTTTGTAACTTTCAAAGCATCGAAATCGGACTTTGTCGTCATATAAGTGATATAACACAAGTATACGGATTAATTATCCCCATCATTGAACCAAGAAGTTTTGGAATCTCGTGTAGGGCATAGGAGTCAACTTCAAACGCATTCCAATTGCATACTTGGGTAGTTGGGTTCTTGCTAGTTTAAGAAAGTCACTATACTTACGCATTCATGCTTGTGTCAATCAGTCAAAACTTCATCAAATGTTGCTTGGTTGATTTTGATGCACGGATACGGCCTCAACAAATTTTATGTTTTCTGTCAGTTTTTAAAATAAATTAAAACACAATACGAGGTTTCCGAAGAAATCTCTATGTACTTTTCTTTTATTGATCCTAACAAAAACAACTCAGCACTTTCCACTCTTGACAGATATCACACAAAATACCAGATGGAAGGTCAGCAACAGTCTGTGGAGAGGAGAAATTTTCATTTGAGCCTTTTTATGAATATTTTATCAGATGGTCTTCAAGTAATGATGTGTTGAAGGCGGTTCAATTTCTAAAGCTTGCGATTGACCGATAAATTGACAGTGGCTTAAAAATTGATACTGTATAATAGCAAATAAATTTCATTACTTTCTTACCGATTTCTGCAATGAATTCTGTCAGTGAGGTTTTGCCGGTTGTAAATTAAGTACAGGTTATTTTGGCGCTGAGTCAGGTTAGACAGCAGGTGGTTATTTATTCAAGCGTTCATCGACCAGAAAATTAGGTTTTTAAATAACTGAAGACCGAATCAGAAATACTTTGTTTCCAAAAAAACACGCCTTTATTTGTCTTCCAATAAAAACGCAAGACAAAAAACTGGTAGATCCAAACGTCTCTGAAAAACAAGTACCCAAAGAAGTGAACATCATGGGACTGCTGCACTGATGTCCAATGTAAAATCATCACTTCTTCCGTATAGTCCTCCTTGAGGGACAACGTGTGTAACATATACTGATATTCAATTTCAAAATCTTCTGTTCTTGTGTTCATTTCAGAAAAAAAATCAGTTCAGCAACAACAAAAAAGCCTAGAGACCAAACAGAAGGCTCAGACGCAGGCCTGACCTACTCCGTTTTCATTCATTTCATTCGTCTAGGGAATCTCCTGTGAAATTTGCAACATGGTTGAAAATCAATTACTGTACTGTGCGAGAATACGAAAAATAGCACACACAGCTTTAGCGAAGATGCAGTACACCGTATGCGGTTTGTTACATAGATTGCTCTGCCGTACAGGGTTAATTTAGTTAACTTTCTTTCTTCATGGGTTGTTTCTTATTTTTCCTGGGACTTTTATGTGTCCATGTCTAAAAAAAAGACATTGGAATCGTTGGTGAGCGGTTCTCTACTAAATCAGCCATGAGAAAAGCTTCCACACCCAACGTAAAACATTCACCGAAACAACACGGAGGACAAGCGTCTCCAGATGACCCCGCGAGTTTCTCTTGTAACCCCTGGCTGCAGGGGTTTACAGGGGCTAAAGATGGAGGTTCTGTATTAAGAGACTCTGGAAGTATACAAATGTTCTTCTTTTTTGTTTATGACAGTTTGTATACCCTGTGAAGTCCATTGTCAGACAAGTTCAAATGCCGGACATCATGAACTGCGCCCACAGGAGCCAGTTTTATTCTATGAAAAAATCGGGCGCGCGTCAACTGAGCTCCAAATAAATGAGTTGACACTTGAGAAAAAGTCCATCCGAGTTGTTTGAAAGGAGAAAGAATCTGCGATCATTTTATGCTACAATACAAATTGGCAAATGCTTCTCGGGACTAGAATCTGAAATAATGTTGCTTCTTCTTTATTTTTTTGTGTTTTTTGTGGTTGCGGGCCGATTTGCACCTTCATTACAGGTTTGTGGAAATCATACTTCTTGTTATTGGCAGTAAAACGATGAACACTGAAAAGGCTCATTGACAAAGCTGGGCAAAAATCTTCATTGATTACAGTTAATCCCTGCACAACGGACTAAATTCAAGCAACAGATTATTCTTTTATGTGTGAAGTCTGTTGTGCAAGTTCATTTATTAAAAAATTAAAATTTCTACATTGTATTTTTCATTTTTAACCAACAGAAGTCTGTTAGGCAGGTTTTGTCCGTTATGCGAGAGGGAAAACTGCCTCCACAGGCAGTCTGTAAGGCAAAAATCCCTTAGACGGGAGGTCTGTTATTGGGTGGGGATTGACTGTATTTTTAAAACTCAAGTGCGTACATACTAATTTTATTAATTGATATATTTTCCTATGATAATAAACGCAGTGTTGAACCTTGTCGAGTGCTAAACTCACACCCTTCCATGTCAAAAGCCTCTCTACGTCAAGTTGTTGATTAATCCCTGTCTAAATTCTCAATAAACCTAACAAAATAAAAGACTTCCCCCTTTAAACCTCTATAACGCAAATTTCTAGATGCCTTTGCTGATATTATTCAGGAGAGCCAAGAGAGAGAAGAGTAATACGAGTACAATTGCAGTTTTCAAAAAGAATTGAGTAACTAATTTGGAAAATGTACCCTTGAACTCCAGTAACAGATTGTGTCAGGTGTTCTATTCAGCAGTTCAATGCCCAGACTATCACAATTTATTTTTTATAAATTTCTTATTTTTCTTCCTGTAATACATTATTTTTTCGCGCAAAAAGTATGGTTTCCTCAACTCAAAAACTCCCAAATTTGATTTTTTGCTGAATTGCTTGACGAAAAATATCTGTCAAAATGATTACTGTCAGCTGAAATGACTATCATGGAGCTCAAGTGAGAAAAATGATTTAAATGATTCGATGCGAAAAGTTCAATAAGGGAGACGGTTTCTTGTTTGTTTTATTTTTTGCGAATTGAATACAGTACCTGTATTCTTCAATATCTATAGAGGCGCTCAGTTGGGTTTCTCTCACTTGAATGTGGCTTATTTGTGCTGGCATTCATCAGGCACACATACATACAACCCAATAAGAGTCCACACCCAAAATATACTTCCACCTCCCACGAATGTGTGTGGACGTAATTTCGCTGCTCGGAGTTCCGAACGGGGGTCTAATTTCATACTCAATTACTTCCCGGACCCCATTTCACATTCCTCGACAACCGCTGGGGGTATTCCTCCCCCGTTTTTCCTCAGCGAGATTCTACGTCAACTTCTCGACTGCACTTTTGCGTTGGAAGATGAATGGATAAAGTCGGGCTGAAGTCCCGCATGCAAACTTCTACTTTCCTGATGGGAAAGTATGTGTGTGTGTATCTATATACAGTGCGTATATATGTGTGTGTACCCAATCTTTCAGTCGCTCATCTCGTAGACTTTCCATTTACTTACCCTCGTGCTGATTCTTGTTTCATTCCCATTTGTGCAGGGGAGGAATTTCAGGGAACCGACGCTGACTGGGTTCCAACTGGTGCTGCCTCGGCTGTTTGGGTCCCCCTGTGATGAAATTAGGGATCCAGTACTTGCGCGTGTTTGCGACAGAAACCATCAGATTTCCTGCTATTCTGCGGCAAATGCTGAATCAATTTCATTTACAGGATGGACAAAATGATGCCGTTAGGAAAAAAATACCGTAGTACTGTATCTCACGAGAGATTTGAGGCATCATAGAAAAATAAAATAAGCCGAGCCCCAGCAATATACTTTTTGATTTCAGCCCAATGTTATTTTTTTATTTACATTTTCAAGACCAACACACGTATTTCAAGAAAAAATGCACGTAGAGATGGGGATTCATTTTATTTTTACATATATTGAGGAGGTTGTCCTATTTGCGCGAGCCGTCGAATGCTTTATTATTGCCGTCCGTTGAGCAAAACTTTTCATAAATATTTCGGTTGTCAAGGTATTTTCCAGCATGTCCGGCTAATTTTTTTGCAGATGAATAAAATAAATGGGGAAATATTTCGGGGTCTGCAGAATAATTGACATCCTGAAATGCCAGTTTCTGAAGTCTGAAAATTCAGAAAAGTGTTTCCTTTCTCCCATCATGTACAATTGTACATTAAAATAAATCAAATTAAGTAGGAACTCCTCAACTTTTTGTAAAAAGAAAGAACATTCGAATTTTATCTGAATGTTTTTTGTTTCAAATACGCGTGGTCTTCATTTAAAAAAAAAATTAAAGCAAAAGTGAAACAATAAAATCCTACAGAACTGAGAGAAAAGCATTTCATGACCTATGATAGCTCAACGACTCATTTTTTTCAAAATGACTGAAATCGTTCAAGAAATTACAGTTTTTTTTTTAACAGTTTTTTTTTCTTACATTCTGTTAAGAATGTTGTATTGGCTTTTGACGAAGCCGGATAAAGCAATATTTTCAGCGATACTTGAGCCATGTCTTCCACCAATTCTCAGGAGCACGAAATGCGTATTACGAGCTTTATGATGA